TGATTTAATTTCAACCCGTTGGTTCTGGTCCAACCTTCTGGGGCAACAGAAAACAAACTCCGCACCATCCTCTAGATGGCAGCCCTTCAAGTACTTGAAGATGGTTATCATATCACCTCTCAGTCGTCTCCTCTCCAGGCTAAACATCCCCAGCTCCTTCAACCTTTCCTCATAGGGCTTGGTCTCTAGACCCCTCACCATCTTCGTTGCCCTCCTCTGGACACGTTCCAGCTTGTCTATATCCTTCTTAAATTGTGGTGCCCAAAACTGAACACAATACTCTAGGTGAGGTCTAACCAGAGCAGACCAGATCACTTCCCATGATCTGGATACTATACTTCTGTAGAGCCCAAAATTGTATTTGCCTTTTTTGCAAAGATGAACACTGGGGAAGAAAAGGGGACCAAAGAGAGCCTGCCCATGTCCTGGGCTGGTGTTACCAATGCTCTGTGTGGCTCACTCAGGACACCTGAAAGCATCTTTCTCTATTCTATCACAAGATAATCAGCAAGTGGACCCTGGATGCCAAACAGGTACATTTCTGATATGCTCTCTCCTCCCTCCAAGGCAGCTTGCCATTCCAGGCACAGGGAGCACCCCATGGAAGTGTGGTGTGATGGGGGCCAGGATGATAGACCAGGATCTGGGAGACCTAGTGAGTCCTTGGCTCAGTTGCACATAATCACCTTAACACACCTCACAGGGTTGTTGTGAGGATAAAATGGAGGAGAGAACGGTATAAATCGCTGTGGGTCCCTGTTGGGGGGGAAGGCAGGGTATAAATTAAGTAAATAAAACACAATGAGAAGTGCACCAAAAGAGCCATAGAGACTGTCAGTCAGGAGCAGCCGCCTCAGGCTTGCAGCTTACCACCACTTCGTAAAGGTTTCTTCTCTGATTTTGGTTTCGGGGCAGCAGCTGATGTCGAAGGTCTGGGGTCAGGTTCTTCCTGTTCGGAGAAGATGTCAGACAGCTCCTAAGTTGGACATCCTGACCAGCCGCCTCCACCCCACCCCAAAGCCGAGACTCACCGCCAGGTTCTGTCCGAGAGTCACCTTGTAACTTTTGCCTTCTTTCATGCTTTCCCACTTGGCTATCTTTTGCCTTCTCTTCTCCTCTTCGCGCTAAGACACAAAGGCAGATTTGAGTTATAAAGGTTAGGCCTGGCCTGATCGGATCCCTTCACCCTGAATGCCTCCCCTCCACTCCGAGTCTGCTGCCAGCCTGGTGGTACATAATGGGCAAGGGGGAGAGAGAAGAAGAAGAGGGGAAAACGGGCTGAAAGGCCCCGGCAGGCCACAATACACAGTGGATCCGGCAGCAGTTTCCTTTCGGGGAAAGTTGTTTCACGTGGCTACGAGACCTCCAAAACCTCCCCTGCCTCGCCACACCAACATCTCCATTCTGTTAGAGACAGTTGCTACGCAGCAGGGAAAACTCTCCACCTGGAAGGATCCTGGGATAGCCAATTAGCACACACACACCCCTTCCACATGGGTATGGCTGAGGACAGCGACGGGTTCCACCTTATCTAGCACTCCCCTCCCCCACCCTGCTTTCTCTCAGTGCTGCGAGTCAGTTACACAGACTGCATTTATTTTGACACCATCTGATGTTGTTTTTAACGTTTAACTGTTTATTTTTGGATTTTGTATTGCATATTTTTTGTTGTCAAGGGCCCCGAGCTCTCTGAATTCAGGGAAGGGTGGTATACAAATAGAAATAATAAATAAACAAGCAGGGAGAAAGTCAACGAGTGAATCAGTCTGCCCCTGCTTTTATGTTACTGCTGTTATGGCCCCCTGACCCAGACCCCCCCCCCCTTCTTTGGAAGGACAGCTTGGTTGGCTAGGATGGTATCATGAACTACGGAAAAACCCTCTAAGGGGAAGTAGTAGCAGAGGCTCACTCTGATTGGTGAGTCGCCTCCATGACAATGGAATGCATCCAGCAGGGGGCTTGGGGGGGGGGAATGAGGTGGAAGGGTGGTTGGGGTTCTTTTTGGAGAGAGTGAATCTAATGGAGGAGGGGGCCTTTTGAGTGGCTGCCTTCAGAGAGAAAACGCTCCGTCTGGGAGACAGTGGGCAGGATGTCCCAGAGAGAGGGGCAGAGCAGACTCTGCTGAAGGGAGTTGCCAGAGTAAAAGGTCAGACCCAGGTTAAAAAAGAGAAAGACACCCACTCACACAGGGACTAGTTGGGATTCAGAGCCCAAGCAGGGGGACCCTGGTTTATCGGTGGTATAAATTCACTAGTATCACATCTGCCTGCTTATTGTAAGGAACCTTCTGATAGAGCCTAAACATTGTTTATAGTGCTTATAGTGGGCACTGGTTGGTTGCCAACTGTTTTGTTCTCATAAAACCTTTCCCCCCATTTCCCTGCCTCTCATTAAGAATAAATCTTTCCTCTTATTTCATTTTTAAACCCCGCTATTGGTGCCATTCTTTCATACCTGTCGGGAAAGGTTTGGGCTCCTGAGGTTCCCTTTACCTGAGAAGGGTTCCTCACACACGTTCATGTGACACAGACCAGTCCATTCACAAGAACACACAAAGATGGCTTGGTGGGCCCTTGGTTTATCAAGGTCAGTACGGTCTACTCAGACTGGCAGCAGCTCTCCGGGGTCTCAGGCGGAGGTCTTTCACATGACCTGCTAGCAGAACCTGTTAACTGAAGATGCCCCAAGCTGAACTTTGCATAGGCATATCGGCTGCTCTGCTGTGGAGCCACCCACCAATCGGAGTAGACAAAACTGATCTTGACCTATTCTCTGACTGGCAGTGGCCTTTCACATCTCCTACAACCCAGAGATGTTGCAGATTAAAGCGGCCACGGTCTGCACTGGAGGGAGGTGCCCTGTACCTGAGCCGGGGCCCCGGCCCTGTTTTCACAACTTTCTTCCTACACAAAGAAGAACCGTGCAAAGAAGCCCCCCCCCCCCCCCCCGAAGCTGAAGCAGCAAATGAGGCCAATCCCGGGCAGGACAGTTACAAAAATCAAAACAGGTATGAGACAAAAAACAACAACGCCGCAGATTGCAAAACGGCATATTATGTTTCAAAAAGCATTTGCTTGAGAGTGGCAGGCAACCAGCGGAATAGCTGGGATGATTACCTCTCTCTGCTTTTCCCTGAAAATTGCTGCCTGTGCATCAATTTCTTCCTGCATCCTCCGGCGGGCTGCCATCATGGCTTCCTCTCGCCGAACGATCGCTTCAGGCTCTAACCCAAACAAAAGAAAAAAAGAGTTATCAAAATCTTCCACCTCTGAGAAGAAACAAATATCCTCAAGCTACTAGGAGCAGCGCAAGACATCCCAGAAGCACTCGACGTCACCTTCGTTCCACTGAGCATATTCAGAAGCCTTCCACCTGATCAGACTGCTCCACTTCCACATTCAGAGGCAGTCAACTTCAGAATAACTGCCAGAAGGCAACACCAGGGGAAGGCCTCAGCCTCTATGCCCTGCTGTTGGCCCTCCAGAGGAACTGGTTGACCACTGGGAGAGACAGGATGTTGGACTAGATGGACCACTGGCTTGATCCAGCAGGGTTTTTCTTACATTCTTAAGTGGTCTAATCTAACAGTACAAATGCATCATAGGAAGCAATGATGCACTAGTTCAGAAGTCCCATCAAGAAGTCTGAGAATAAACTAGTGATGATATAATTTCTGGCCACACAGAACTACCCAGCTCTGCTGGAGAACATAGTGAAACTGGGAAGCCCAGTTTCTTTCTGCACTAAACCCTTGAGCCAATATGAAGCCGGAACATTACGGGGACTGGGAGAAAAAAAATCCCCTTTCACATGACTTCTTCAAGTCTTACAGCTACAGACATCAAAAATTTCAAATGTGTTAGTCAATCTAGAACCTAAGCCAGCTGTGAATTTCTACAGGTTTAGTACCATGTACATATGTTTGATTCACAATTCCCTCAGCATCGCAATTAATGTTAGCTTCATGACATTTGTTGGAATTAATTTAAAAAACTCTACATCTTTCTGTAATAGTTCAAGGATTTGACTTCCACATTTGAAATTTTTGACGTCTGTAGCTATAAGATGTGAAGAAGTCATGTGAAATGGGATTTTTTTCTACCAGTCCCCATAGTCTTTCAAGCCTCAGTTCGTCTCAGCATCCTGTGTACTTTAACATATGAATTGGTGTAGCCCATGAGTTGGGCTTGTATACATGTTGTGTATCGTGTTCCTTGCACACCAGCTATATTGTGCAGAGTGTATTAGGCTCTTACAGCCTTTGTTTAAGCCTAAAATGGAGTTTGTTAATTATCTTGTTTAAATAATACACCATTTCTATTTCTGGAACTGCTAGCATCCTTTATTGTTGCTAAGTGTCTGTATACAATTACAAGATCTTTGAACGGGATTATACATGGTGCTTTAGTTGTTCCTGATATCCTCACACACCGTGGCCCTTTGGTTTTGTTTCTCTAGGAGGCAGGTTTCGCACAGTGCAAGGAATGCCACTGAATGGAACAGCGTTAACAGCACTCCACACAAAAGACAAAAGGACTTCCATGATTCTCCCGAGTTTGCCTATCAAGTACAACTTCTGTCTACACAAACTGTTTATATAGCGTCAGCATACAAGAAGGACAGGTCCCTGCCCC